ACCACCGGCATCTTTCGTCAGCGCATTTTTCCTCCTGACCGGTTGGACGAACGAACGAAAGTGAAACGCTTTGTTTTTCACCCACTTTTCTTACGTCCGTCCACTCCGCGGCCAGTGCTCATGTGCAAGGTCCATTCAACAGACCACGGCATGCAGCTGGCAAAGAAGCGCTCCAGAAAAATCAGCGAGGACGTAGCTGAGGGGCGGTATGTTTCCATCATCGTTGGCGGTGGCGGACAAGGGAAGGGAAAGGCGGCTGGCGGCAAAAGTCCACGCGGCTGCAAAGCCAAGAGCGCAAACCAGCCAACACAAAGCTACCCATGCGAGCAACTAGAGAGCGAAAGCCGGCCTTGCACACAGCTGGTGCAGCAAGTCTACACGCAGCACCACCAAAAAGGCTTGCGCTTCATTCCGTGGAAGCTGATGGTGTCAGAAGTCCAAGCAGACAACGCCAAACTGACACAAGGCCCAAAGGAAAATTCCTTCCTGGCGCTGTGCACCAAAGACGTGCAGACCCTTTGGGACATGTGCGTCGTGGCATACTGGCCAGCTTACCAGCCAATGCGTGTGAGAAAGTACGGAAACTTGTCAATACTGAAGACGGCGCCTTGCTTGCGCCCCTGTTCAAGGATGCCGGGGTCGAGGAAATGAGGGGGGCAGTCTGTGCCTGCCCGGGCGCTGACCGTGCCTGGGCCAGAGAACAGATCCCCTGTACACCGTACCGGTTCAACCTCATGGAGCGCGTGGCTACGCAGTTGCACGACGTGGATGCTTCGCTGCCGGGTGTCCTCAAAGTTGGCTCGCCAACCGGAGTTCGGTGCGCCATCCCTGCAAGTGGTGTGTTTTCCCACAGGGAGTGCCGACCAGGACGCCTGTGATGTGGAGCCGGATGATCTGGACATTTCCGAGTTTAATCACTGGTCTGCAGTAGAAGCACCAGAATGAGCACGGGAACTTCTAGAAGAAAAAAATTCCGCAGGGTACGTGACCAAGTTCACGGGTGATTTAGCCGTGCTCCGAGAACGCTTCCGGGCTGGAAACCTGGCGGTGGGCAAACTGGGCTTGGTGCGGAAGCCTGGCACAGCGGACAGACTGATCGGGGACTCGTTCTCCGAGAAGGTCGAAGTTGCGGCTATCGGAAATTTTTCCCAGGCATTCGATAGAAATCCCGAGTCCAGAAAGACGGCGCCAGAGGACGTTGGTTTCGCTGTTTTCCAGTTGTGGAGCTGCTTCTACATCTACTTAGTGAAGCGCCTACTGGTGGGCTCGGCTGGGTGCATTGTTGTTACGGATCTGCAATTTTTTGCTTAGACACAAACACCTAGGCGCCATTTATGTCGACGACTTCTTATGGCTGCTACCCAAACAGGCCTTCGCTTCCGTGGTCGCGCTGCTCATAGCATTGCTGCAGGTTCTGGGTGTGCCCATATCTTGGAAGAAGCTGCGACTGAGCTCGTCCCTCGCCTACCTGGGGTGGCTCCTGGTTTTGAACGGCGGCTTTATTGCTCGCATGTCGGAAAACAAGAGCGTTAAACTCCTCCGCGCAATCAACTGGTGGCTTTTGCACCGCCGCAAAGTACAGCAGGCAGAAATCTGTTTTTTCCTGGGACTCTTGGTTTGGGCTTCGCAAATCGACCTGATGCTGCTGCCCTTCTTGAGCCCCTTGTTCGCAGTGCTGCACAGACGTACGCAAAGGTTACAGCGCCTATCCCTGCGACAGATAGTCGAGCTGCCTTCCATCCTCAACAAGCACACTCCGATTGTCGGGCAGCATGCGCAGCGCCGCCAAGACAACTGCTGGCATTGGGGGGGTGGTTCGCCGAGAGTAGTGCTACAGTGCGTTGGTTCCATATACCGTTGAGCCACCAGTAGCTCAGGGGCTGTCGCAGAAGCCGCCACTTTCATCTGCGCTGATGAGCCTGTGCTACTCTTGCCCTGAGATGCAATGCAAAGTGCATGTCTCCCACCTGGCTGGCGACCGCAGTGAGGATGCAAACCAGTTAAGCCGGCGAAATTGCGCAGGTTGGAAGTTCCAGCGTGCACTGCTCCGCTCCCAGGCAGGGCCGCATGCCGGAGCGTGGCTCACCGCTGTGCCGTGCGACCAGGCAACCAGCATCCCGCCACAGGCCATGCTCATCGCGTTGCGACGACGCCTTCGCCTGCCCCTGCCTCTTTGCCCCAGCCGCTGCGGCCCCAGCCCCGGATGTGGTGGAGCCATGGACCCCTTAGGCGACCATGCCCTAGCTTGCTCGCGGACGGGCTTGTTGGCCAGACGTGCGAAGGTGGTCGAGCGCGCCTGGGTCCGCGTGGCACGCGAGGCCGTAGGACCCGAAGGCCAGGTCGTGCCACAGCAGCGGCTCGCCCACACAACTGCTCCCGGCGTCCCAACCGAAGACCGTCGGCGCCTTGACCTTGTCGTCTACGGCGCCACAGCCAATGGCGGGGCGCTGTGCTGCGACGCGACACTGGTGTCCCCCCTCACGAGGACAGGGCACCCGCATCCATGCACAGTGGAAGTGGACGGGGCGGCGCTGAAGGTCGCGGAGCTGCGCAAGCAAAGCACCTACCCGGAGCTCGCGAGGGGCGGCCCGCAGAAGCTACTGGTGCTGGGCTCGGAAATCCGAGGCCGCTGGAATGCAACAGCGCAGCATTTCGTCCGCGACCTCGTCCGCCTCCGAGCTCTCCGTGCGCCGCCCGCACTGCGTCGCGCCGCGTCCTCTGGGTGGGCGCGACGCTGGTGGGGAACCTTGTCAGTCGCAGTCCAGCTCGCCGTTGCAGGCACGGCTTTGGGTCGCGCGTGGCCAGCCGTCCCAGCGCCGGGGCCGGGCGATGGCCCAGCACTGGACCGTGTGCTCGACCTCGCCGCTGACGAGGCGCCCAGCCGCCTGCCCCTGCGGCCGTAGGACTGTCGTAGCTACCGGATCTTCTTGCAGTCGGAAAAGTCCGTTGAAAAAAAAAGAAGTTCCAGTCAAATCATTTTGCGAAGTACCCAAAGTCAACAAGGGTCCAATTGACGGCAAGCGACTTGTTTGCACCACGGCACGAATTCCGCAACTTGTGTGCGCCCAAGAGCACAGTAGGCCATAGGTAGGCGCTTTGCACCTGTGGTTAGAGATGCTGCAGAGTGTCTCGGTGGTGCAGGCGCCGAGAGTCCTCGTGTCTATGCAATTGCTGACATAGATGGAGTCGCGTGGCTGCGGCGTGATTGGAGAGTTTCAGGCAGCCCCGTTCAAATGTGGTCAGCAGGGAATTGTGATTGAAGGATACTGCTGACCAGCATTTTCGCAAAGCCAAAACAATGTGCTTGCAGCTTGTGTTTTGGCCAGTCCAGTTCTTAGATGTACATAGGTTGGCTACATAAGAGCGTGAGAGGTGTCGGGTGTATCGGCTTGGCTTGGGCTCGGCTGTACACCCGTCCCTTTCTTGCACATGTAGCTTGTGCATTACAGACGCAACTTGCATGCAAGTTGAGTTCAGTTTTGCAAGTGCATTGCACGTGTTGTGCGATCACCCAGATTCGTTCCAGTGTGCGGTTGGATTGAAGGATACTGCTGACCAGCATTTTCGCAAAACCCAAACAATGTGCTTGCAGCTTGTGTTTTTGCCTAGTTCCTGGATGTATCTAGGTTGGCTACATAAGAGCATGCGAGGGGCGCTGCCCGGAGTTGCTCCGTGCCCGCCGCTGCCGCCTGGTCATTTCGGCATTGAATCTACTGGGCTCTGGAACGAGGAAGCCGCAACCTTCCGCCGACTTCGCGCGCACGATTGGAGTGGCATCCCCTCCGTTGCCGCGTAAAGAGCGTTCGCCACTTCGCCGCTCGAGCTTCCTGCTGCCGCAGAGCTCGGTGCTGCTAGTGATTAACCGCTTTGCACGAGCCCTTGGTTGACGCACGCTGGTTGCAGGCACCCGCCAACAGCCGCTTCCCAGCCCGCCCCGCCCAACCCGTAGACTGCAGCAAGCACAGGGACCGGACAATGTGCTGTTGGTGCTGTTGTAAGAAGGTGCGAGAGAAAAACACTTGGGCGACGTGGTCGATGAGGCGATTCCGCCTTTTCAGTACACGTCGCAAGCACGTGCTGGCACCGAGGCGCTCTGGCAGCGCACGTGCGAAGGGTTTTGAAACTAAGGGACGACGCAGTCTTGGATGCGCTCAACGGGCGCAGCGCCTATCGCGCGCATCCTTCCTCACCGCTCGCCAGGCCACAGCGCCTGAACTAGTCCCGCGTCGTCGTTCGGCCTTACTACGGAAAGAAAATTTCTACGGTGCACGACGGCCGCTCCGGGACCTCGTCCGCATGTGCCCAACGCGCATCGCTTGCTGTGCGAGCTGCTGCTCCCTTTGTTTCTCCTACGTTGCTGCGCGACATCAAAGTTAGAAGGCGACGGCTTCACGCCGCGATTGACACCGCTCTAGCGGAGCGGCAAGCGGCACGGCCCTGCATGATCTGGAAGGTCGAGAGCGCTGTCAAGTGAGAAGTGTGGTGGAACAAGAGTCCCCTGTCATCATTGCCCTGGCAGCATCTTGAAGCTGCTCCGTAGTTTTTGCATGGTAGTACGTGCTACATCTTGCTACCAGCAGCAATGGTCCTCGTGAGAGTGGCTCAGCCACCCCCCAACACACGAGCATCCCCAGGAATGGACCCGGACTCATTTCCGAACCACCCCCCACTACCCCACCCCTGTTAGGGGGTGGGTATAACAAATTCAAAGAAGAGAAAAGAATCTATGTTATTCCGATAATTCCGGGAGCGCGGTTGCCAGTACGATTTCCAAACTGCTTCCAATTGTAATCCTGCATTCATTGACATGCGGACTCAGTTGCGATATGAATCGTGGGCCATCTTGGTCCTTGTCGGCAGACGAGACAAGCTACAGGCAGCTGCGGCCGGCGATGCAGATGCTGTCCGGAAAGCGTGTGTTGCTCAAGCACGAGACAGTCCTGAATACGGGTGTTAGGATTCCCGCACTGAGGTTGGAAAGCCGCGACCGCAGACGATTGATGCTGACCGTGGATGCGCAGCAGCACGCAGCTAAGATGTTCCAACGATTGGTGACAGCCCCCCAAGACCATATTTGTGTGAGGCGAACGGCCGGACATCTTGCAGCGCAGCGCCCTCGTTGTTGATGTGGGCATGCGGTAGATGTGCATGAATCACCTTCGCGGCAAGCAGCAGCAGCGGCAGGCGGGCTGGCCACGTGGAGGTGGGCATGCATGAAATGTTCCAGATCAAGTTGCATGCGCAGTTGCGTTTGCTAGCGATCAGGTTCTCAAGTTGTTGCATGCCCACGGTGTTGACATGGAGGCGGCAGACTGTTTGCACTGACTTGTCATGACTTGCTTGTTATGGCGTGGCATAAGATGTCAATTGGGTTGCAGGCGCTGGACCGCTTCGGCCGCGCAGCCATCCATCTAGCTTGCGAGCACGGCAAGGCATCGTGCACCGGACTGTGCTGTGTATTAGGTACTGCTGGGCATCAATGCGGAAGGACTGTGTCCAGCATTTGCCATGTAGTTAGGGACCTGCCCAGTCTCGCATCTACAAGCCGGTCCATGCATGAAAGCGTGTGCCAGGCACCTGCAATGAAATATTTGCTGGATTGTGGTGCTCGTCCAGGGACAGAGGCTTCGCCGAAGTCATGGAATCGCATCGTGCGCCCACCGACTTCTGTGCAGGACAACAGCGGCAGGAATGCTCTGCATCTTGCGTGCTGCTGCGAGGCTGCGAGCCACATGTGCAGAATCGCTTTCTTTTGATGGGCCATGCAGTTGCATTTTTTGCAGGATCCGTCGGTGGGGCATGCACTTGCAAGTTGGAACCTGAATGAAGTTTGGTGTTGTCCGGCTTTTTGGCGCAGCAGTGTGGAGCACGAGGTCAATTTCCTCAGCTGGTGTTCCAGTCGGATGCTCACGGGAGGCGCTTCTTGTCGCAGAATTGGTTGAGACAATTCTGAGACCACTGGAAGTCGATATTCGATGGTGTCCCAGCAGTGTTGCTGACTGCGGCGCGGGCACTTACACCTATTGTTCTATTCGAAAACTTGCGGTTCTTTTAGCTTGGCGCAGGACTCCATTGTTTTACGCCGCGCTCAATGCACATCCGCATTCTCAGGGCGAGGTGACGAAAGCGCAAGGGACTTGGTGCCAACCAAAAGCTGCGGCATCATGAGCTCACATGTTATGTTCATTTTGGCACGTGGGCGGCCACAGTTGTGTTTCTCGGCTCCGAGACGTATCCGTGTCGTAGATAGCTCCTGGCGCGCCCACCACATATTGCCAGCAAGGTCGATAAGATGTCAGTTTCCCAGCCCGAGATATGTCTGCAAAATCTCGGTTGGAATTTGTCCGTTTGCCGCCATGGGCGCTGACATGCAGTTTCCTTTCGCCCCGCGCTTTAGAAGGGTGCACTTGTGGGCAGCAGGTGTCGCTGCTGTCATATGTGGTGATTTTGTCGCTTGGCAACCTGCCTTCGGGCAAGGCCGGGCAGGCGAAATGGTACCAAGTTATTTCGGGGAGATGTGTTTTCAATTATCGGGGTCGACACAAGCGCAGCCAATGGCAAAAGGCTTGGGATGAAACGTGCGTCGACCGGAGGGAGGGAAGGGGGACAAAGAGACTGTAAGAGAGAAGAGAGACCTGGGGATGCCAAAAAAAGAAAGCAGGAACCCCAGAAAGACAAACCGAAAGAAATAAACCAACACGAAAACGGTAAACGGAAAACAACGAACGAAAGAAACAAATGATCGACATACATAGTATAGCAAGACAAATCTTAACAATCAAAGAGCGCCAAAGAAGTATATGCTAAAGAAATATGCAATGAAACAAACAAAAAAATTAAGACACATAGTTAGAGAACCAAATAAAGTCATAACGAAGCAGATCAGTGTAGAAACCAACACAGCAGGAATTAAGGAAGCAACGAACGAGCGTGGAACAATGAGACAAGGAGGGTCACGGAACTGCACTTGAAGCTGACGCAAGCTATGGCTGTTTCGCTTCGTCGCCAGAATCTCCACCTATCACCAGGGAATCCGCAAGTATTTCATTTAGATGCTTGAACTCGTGCCCATCGAATTCCAAGCCTACAGACCATTGTGTCTGAAGAGTCAGCTGACCAATGAAAGAACGTCATAAAGAAGGACAAGCGAAATCAATAAAGAAAGACATGTGCTGAAAATGAACACACTAAGAAATGACGAATTGAATCAAGAGAAAAAGAACACCACGAGAAAACGAACGAACGTACCAACGTTATACATGAGTAAGACGAAGAAAAGGAGACATGCAGAAACAGAAGAAGCCAAATAAAGCACGTACTAATAAAGAAAGACAGTTGGCAGAAAAGAAACAAGAACGACAGAAACGCAGAAAGACAGCGCTGGATAAATAAAGAAAGACAGCAACAAGAGCGACAGAAGCATAGCAAAAATATAGATAGAAGGAAACACAGCATGCAAGAACGATAAGCTGAAAGAACGAACGAACGACATAAAGACAACAGAGCAACATAACGAACTAAACGAGGAAATAAAGACAGAACGATCGAAAGAACGAACGAGCCAAAGAACGGAAAAGATAAATAACGAAGCAAGTGACGTAACTGAATAACGAAGGAACGAAGATGAGTGAAGAACGAACGGCCGAACCAGATGAAATGATAGCCAAAGCTAGTTAGCAAAAACCGTAAAGACGAGACAAGTATAAATCCATAAGTAAGCTGGTCAATAAGCACACACATGAACAGATGAACAAGTAAAGATAATGATTCACATAGCAAGCAAAAGCAGACATGTCAGAAATAAGGAACCACAGAGAGAACTTACTCCGTGTTTACATAACGGAGTACAAATGGCAAACCGCACGAACACAGAACGAATGACAGATAGACAGAAAGCAAGAACGAGAGACATAGATAAATAAAGAACGAACCAACTAACAAATTAACGAACGAGCGAGCGAGCGAACAAACGAACAGAAGAATGGAAGCGCTGCACACACAGAATTACAGTAAGAACGACGGAAGGACGAACGAAACAATGATACAGACTACGCGATGTCAGTCATGAGAGCATGTGTCGCGATGTGACCGCGCTTGCTCAACCTGTGCACAATCGCCTGAGCGCGCTTGTCCGGAGCTCGTTTGCTGTAGACAACTCTGAAGGACTGAAAGGTTACCGATCTTGACATGGCAGCCTGATGGTTTTGGAAAGGGCACTTAGAGCCCTATTTGCGGCTGAATTTGCTGCTTCCGACCGCCACAGGCATCGGGTGTGCACTGATCGGTTATTTCGTGGCTGCGCTGTTCTACATGCTATTGGTCAGCAGCCTCACGGAAGTGTCTCAGCCACAATCGCTCATGTGGCTGATGTTTTCCGCCGCCCATGCCCCACCTGTACGTCTTCGGGCTTGCTCATTTTGCCTTTGTTCACGACGCTGAGAAACGCTCAGGTGATGAGCCGGATGGGTGATGCAGAAGGCCCCAGTCAGGTCGCAGCTTGCATTGGGCCCAGGACAGGGGACAGGTCTCCGTTCTGGGTGGCGAGCGCTGGTGCGGTGCTGATGGCTTGCGCTTGTTGTGTGGTGGTGAAGGTGGTGCTGCTCGCTGCATCTTCCTGCTGGTGGTTGTGGCGATGGTGCTGGCGGTGGTGCTTGCGGCGGTGCTGGCGGCGGTGATGGTGCTTGTGGTGTTGCTGATGGCATGTGTTGGGTGACAGAGTTTCAGTGTGCTGTAGACAATGGGTGCGAGCCTTTGGTGTTGTGCCTATAAAGGGAAGAGCTGATGGTTGCGCTCGGAGTTATGAGTGCGTTCAGCATCTTACAGGACATCATTCCTGGCTGGGCTCATGGAGTGCTTGAAGTGCACTCTCATCATTGCCGACATAGCTGCCGCGACTGGCGCTCTCATGGAGGACAGATGGACAGACCAAGTGGGCTTCGAAGGCCCATCACACAGTCGCATGCAAGGATCTAACCGGATCCGCTTCAGATCTTCAGCCTTTGTGGTGGCTGCTTTTCTGCGGCCTCATCCTGCTGCTCAACACGAAGCTCATGTCGATGTCGGCGCAAACGCTGATGGCGATGACCTTGTCAAGCTTGGCTATTGTGGCCACATATTTCTTATGTTCGTGGCCAGGCTGCATGTGTGGATCGAGAACACAGCACAGACAAGCAAGACTGCATGGACATGTGTCAGGAGCGGACGAACATTTGACCTTGCGCAAGAGGCGATGGCAGGTGAGCATGGCCAGCTCAGTTTGGTATGTTGCAGGGGTGCTGCAGTAGTGTAGGCTTTGCAGAAGCACTGCGCAGCTGCCTTTTCCACATCTGCCTCCCTCTGTGAGGAGGAGACATCTTGAGTGATGTCTCGTTGCTCGCATTTTTCAAGTCACTTCCGGCTGGTATTTGGTGTTTCCTCGGGCTGGAAGAGATGCTCTGGTTTGGCAAGTTCGCGGTAGATCTGAGAACGAGACCCTTGGTGGCTTTAGATGCTTTTCGATTGGACATGTGATTCAGTCGATTGGCACGTGTGATTCTCGCTCCCTGAGATCTGCCACGTGCTCTGAGCTGGGCCTATGTTACGCTCTTTATCTTGGCAATGCTGACGTTGATTTGCAGTCTGGCGGCTTCCCCAGGACGGATGTTGACAAAAGCTGACGGTCCCGCAGTGCGTTTTGTAGTGTCATAAGACTCATAAGTTCAACGACGTCGCATCGAGCCGCTAAACGCATGTTGCCAGGCACGCACGTTACCACGCACCAAAAATTCCCACTGCTGGTTGCGTACTTCGATGTCTTCGGGGAGAGCAGTCTGACCCGCTACTTCGCATTGCTTCTGCTCTTCGGCATCCTGGCAACCTGGCTTGCCACAGTGGGTTTTGCGGTGTTTATCAGGGTGTACTGATTGCTTTCTTGACCGGCGGATGCTTGGAAGCGTTTATCATTGCGGGCAAATAAGCACTTCCATACCGTAGAATCCGAACGGACTGCATGTTGATGTTTGTGCTCAGGGCTTGTATTTTTTAGTTTTATGTCATCCACCTCCATGGCTGCATCCGCCTCCATGTCTCTGTTGCCTCTCTTTTTCTGTGTACGGTTTCTTTGCTGGAGGTTTATTGCTTTCCTGACATCTAACCGGACTTGTTTTCAGATTTATGCTGGCCCCCTTTGCTTTTCGTGCTCCATCGGCCGGGGCGGAAGGGCCTCGCTTAGCTGGGCGTGACTTTGTTCATGAAGAGGTTTATGCGAGCTTTTTGACTTCTTGATGCAGCCTCTGTCCTTCTCATGCTGAACGGGCATGGCCCGCCTTTTGCTTAGCTGGGATGCTGAGCTGCTACCACTACTACTACTAGTACTAGTAGTAGTAGTAGTAGTAGTAGTAGTAGTAGTAGTAGTAGTAGTAGTAGTAGTGGTAGTAGTAGTAGTAGTCGTAGTAGTAGTAGTAGTCGTAGTAGTAGTAGTAGTAGTAGTAGTAGTAGTAGTAGTAGTAGTAGTAGTAGTTTTTTGCCTCCTGCATGGCTGAGTACACGAAGCAGGGAGTCAACACCAGGATGTATGTAGATCCTGGAAGAACATGTGGTGCCTCAGCAGCTTGCCATTACTTCTGCCAGTCTTGCATCCCTTAGGGCTGTGAGACCTCTTGCAGACTGCTCGCAGGTAACTTCTCCTCAACTTCCTAACTCGACGGACCACCCTGTGCTAAAGTGCCCTACCTGTGCCTTTCGAGGGATCATGGAGCCAGCCTCTGAGCATAGCTGGCCAAACTGGCAGGCAGCACTTGTTCCGCTTACAGTCGGGACAGAAGTGGAGGTGACTGATGGCCACAGACAGCACCTTATAGGCCGCCGGGCGATTGTGCTCCCTACCTTGGAGTGCGATCGCAACACCACCCGGAATGTGCGGATGATACAAGGACCTCGAGCTGAACAACGACGTATCTATACGATCGACAGGGAACACCTCGTTCCCCGACTGGGGTCGGAGGCTACACAAGCTTCCATGTGTGATGGAATGGAGCCGAGTCTGAGGTGGAGATGTGCACCCCCACCATTAACCATCTTCAGCGCACGTTACCTTCTTGGCTACCAGGCCCTGGCGACCATGGTGCCCCCGGCGGCACCCAAACGGAGT